TAACAAATGTTGAGGATACAGAGAAACTGAAATCCTAGTACATTGCTAATAGGAATGTAAAATGATGCAACTGTTTTAGAAAACTGTTTCGAGGTTCTTCAAAGAGTTAAACTTAGAATTACCATGTGACAGCAATTCCACTTTTACCTATACTCAAAATCATTGGAAACAAAGGATTTCAGGGCTATCCCTGTAGTCTAGTGCTTAAGGAGTCCAAACACATGGTCAACCATGGTTTGAATTATCTTAGTGACTTGAAAAACACACTGGGCACATCTATGTGTGTGCCCCAAATTTCAACATAATGGAGAACTGAAAGAGAAGTGATTGCAGCATAACCCTAACCCCCTGAGGGGTACTTTCTCCCCTTCTCTCTCTGTGTTTCTCTATCTCTTTCTGGAGAGCACATGTACTCTCTGACAATTAGAAAAAAAAGAGATAGAAAGAAAACAGGAATTTAAACAGATATCTGTATTCCTGATACTTGTATGCCAGGTATTAGTATGCAATGACCATTGTACAACTCTTCTCAAAATCTGTAATAAAAGGTAGAAACTACCCAAGCACTCACTGACGGATGAATGGATACATATACTGTATCCATACAATGGGATGTTATTTAGCCATAAGAAAAATTAAGTTCTGATACATCCTATAACATGGGTAAACACTGAGAACAGTATGCTAACTGAAATAATCCATACGCAAAAGGACAATGAGTATACAATTACGCTTATATGAAGTAACTAAAATAGTCAAATTCATAGGAACAGAAAGTAGAATAGAAATTACTGTGGGCTAGGGGAGAAGGAAGTAAAGAGTTATTATTTAACAGGGCCAGAGTTTCTGTTTGGGATGACAAAAATGCTCTGAAAATAGATCCTAGTAATGGTTACGCAACATCGTGAATATTCTTAAAGCCACTGAATTATATAGTTAAAAAATGGTTAAAAAGGTAAGCTTTATATAATGTATATTTTATCCCCCCTTCAAAAAAGGGGCATGGTTTTTCTTCTTTAGAAGTAAGTCATTAATGTCCCACACTACACATTGCCCGCATGAGTGCCAGTCTTGACTTTCTAGCCAAAACCTCAAGCTCAATGATCAAAATTTATGTCAATGCTTAAGTACAATCAAGTCTCTGTTCCACTGGAAAAATCCATTCCTTGTTCCTTTCTCTGTAAGCCTTTTCTCCATAAAAACTATCTGTTAAGCTCAGATCAACTTTGATTTTCTCTTCCTCTCTCCTGCAACCAACCACTCTGAGTGTTTTTAATGTTACTTTGTTCTTCTCTACCATAGCTTCTAGATATGATTGAATTTCCTTCCTCTTTTCCACCTCTATGATCACAGTCCCAGTTAAGGGCCTCGTGTTCCCTCTCTCACCTGAGTTATTGTAACACCTTTTTGTTTGGTCTGTCTGCCTCTCTAATACCCCTTTGTAGACTCATCGCTCTTCCACAATCTGTCTTCAGAATAACTCCAGCCTTTTTTTTGGATGTTACAAATATCATCCTGCTGGGGGACAGCAGGTGGCATGGTGGTTAAGGGTGCTGACTGCCCATTCTACTCCATTCATGCTCTTCTCTTCCTATGTCCTCCTCCTAAAAATGGCCTTTCCCAAAAGAACTCCTAATTACCTTCCAAAATCTAGTTAAAATACCACTTCTTCTATGAATCATTCTTCAAATCCCATAGAAAGGAATGGCTATTTTCTTTTCTTTGGTAGCACTGAATAATATAAACAAGTGTCACGTTACTTTAAGAGTATTTAACTGTCCATATCCCTATCCCAGAGCAAAAGCTTCTAGAAACTAGGACTGGAAATTGAACCCACTGGGTCATCTTTTCACTAATTATAGTTTAAATCAACAAGAGAAGATGTCTTTCTCCCTACCCAAAAATGAATATTCAAGGGAGCTACTGAAATTCATGTGAAGTGTTTGTAAGGTCTAATGCTCTTACTGCAAAATTAAGAGGAAGATGCAGATATATCTCATATACTCCCATCCCCACATAGGCAGTCTCCTCCATTATCACATGCCCTACAAGAGTAATGCAATTAATATAATCAATGAACATACATCAACATTCATACTCACCCATAGTTCATAGTTTGCATGAGGGTTCACTCTTGGTGCTACACATTTTATGGGCTTAGGCAAATATATAATGACATGGATGGATTACTATCATCTCATGCAAAGTATTTCCACTGCCCTAAAAAAGATGCTCTGTCCATTCATCGCTTCAACCTAATCCAACCCCAGCAACTCCTGATCTTTATACTGTCTCCAAAATTTGTCTTTTTCAGACTATCATATGGTTGTAATGCTATACTTTGTAGCCTTTTGGGTTGGCTTCTCTGACTTAGTGAAACAGTTGAGTATCGTTCATCCAAAATGTTTAGGACCAGACATGTTTTGGCTTTCAGACTTTCACAAAGTTTGAAATATTTGCATATGCATAAGATATCTTGGGAATGAGACCCAAAATCCATTTATTTCATATCCCCCTTATACATATAGTCTGCAAGGCATTTTATACAATAATTTTATGGTGTAGCATTTTGATTGTGACCCATCACATGCAATCTGGTGTGGAATTTCCCACTTGTAGTACTCTGTTGAGGCTCCAAAAGTTTCAGAGTTTGGAGACCAGGTGGTGGTGCAGCAGTAGCATAGCCTTCTGTAAGGCTGACCTACACAGGAAAGTTCTGGGGGCTCACATCTGGAGACCTCCCTAGTCATGCCATATAGGTGTGTGCACATGATCAATGTAGCTCTATCTATAGAGCTAGTGGAAGCTGGAGATAGACCATGGCATGAAGACACTGTTGGGGAGCTCTCTCTCTTTCTCTCTGTTTCCCTTGCTCCTAGAAGAAAAAAAGTAAAACCCTAAAGCACACACATACAAATTTTCAGACTTTGGGTCATTTTGGATTTAGGCTCTTCAGATTAGAGATATTTAATTCACATGTATTTAATATTTCATATCTTTTCATGGTTTCATAGCTACTTCCTTACTTACTTTATCCTTCCATTCTTTCCTTCCTCCCTCCCTTTCTTCCTTCTTTCCTCCCTTCACTCCTTCTTTCAAATGTTTCTACCTATTTTCTTCCATGAACAAGAGAGACAGACAAAAAGAGACAGCACCACCATCAGGATCTTGGCACCATGACCTACCTGTAGCTCCAGCCAGCCACAGATCATGGTCATAAACATACCTGGTGTACCCAAAGAGGTCTTCAGACTTGAACCCAGACCATTCCCATGTAGGTGAGCCACAGAGCACCACATTTTATTACTGAGCCACCCTCTGGCCCAGCTCATTTCTTTTTAGCACTAAATAATATTCTATTGTCTAGATGTATGGTTTATTTGTGCTCTTACTAGTTGAGTTTTAAGAGTTCTTTGGATATTATGATAGCAATCCTTTATCAGATGTCCTTGCAAATATTTTCTCCTGGTCTGTGGTTTGTTTGCTCATTCTCTTAAAGGAATGTTTTCCTTTTAATTATTTAATTTTATTCAGTGTGAATCACCCTGAAAATCTCATGTAACTTCATTTTTTGCTGTTACAAGTGGAGCCCACAAATACTCATTTATTCTACAAACTTTATTATGTACTTTTCATATGCCAGACACTAAAGATACCAAATACTGAAGCATAGTTGAACTGTAACCACATAGAATCAAAACATCTCAGTTAAAAAAGCAAATTTAATTAATTGATCTGCAAATTTTACCTTTGCGGATGCACATTGCCCAATGACCAGATCATTTAAGTGATAACTAACTAATTAAATGCTTTGACTCCAGCCCATTTGGGGTGTTCCCAAGATATGTTATAGTCAACAGCCATGGTGCTTGCCCATAAAATGCACAGTATAATGGAGAAATCTAACCTATTACAAAATGAATAGACAGTGCGGTTTAAGGAACTGGAGTCATGACTACTATCTCCTAACTGTGGGAACTTGAGATAATAAGTTAATCTGTCAACTTGGCCTTAGTCACTTTTTTGTTTTTGTTTTTGTTTTTGTTTTTGTAAAGATAAAATAGTTGGACAACAATCTACACATACTGAGTTTTTGCTACTATATGTAGACTAGCCATTACATGTTTTGAGGATCAGCGTAACCTTATCTAGAGCTGGGAAGCAGTCAGAATTAGGGTGATTGGGAGAAAACGATTGAATAAAGTGATTTCCAAGTTAGAGATCAAGCTTTTGAAAAACCTATTGACTGTAGCATGTGAAGCAAGGATAGGTAGGACAGATAAGCAGGCAACTTCATGCTAGAAGATTTACATTTCATAGCTTTACATGGATTTTGAGAAGAACTAGGAACAGTATTGGTCACTACAAAAAGTAGTAGTCTGATCGGAAGGAGACTTGAAGAAGTGAATTTGCATTTCTTCTCTGAGGAACCTGGACGTTAAGGGGACAGGCACAGCTGTATGGTGGACACTGACTCAGCCACAGCAGACTTCCTTCCATCTGCCATCTTGTCATCCTCCCGCCCTATAAAGAACCATGGGATGCTAGTGTGTCCTGTTTCTTGATATTAGTGACTGTTACACTATTTTCCTAAGAACTATTTGATTATTTGTTGTGTTGTGCACTTTTCTATATATTTCAATTTTCTTCAAAAAGCCTTTTAAGATACTTCGTACAATAATGTCCTGAATCATGTTCCCCCACACTTTTAAATCAAGAAGACCTACATGAATAGTCACTTGATTTTGGTGAATAAAATGAGTTTCCTCATGGATTCAACTAATACAGTAGGTGGGGGTGGGGCGGAGGGGGATCCTTTGAAAGACAAATGCATTTTGTACTCACTGCCAATATAAACTTAATACTTCCTCCTTGTCATTAATGAAAAATAACACACACGTTGAAAGTTCTGTAGACACCGGAAAAAAAAAAAAAAGAAAAGAAAACGCTCAAACGAGTCACCTATTTTCACATTCAGGACTGAGAAGCTGTATAAATTTCTTCAGCCTCTAGCAAAGAACACCAAACCAACCATAGTCCAAGGACAAACATCTCTTGATCACAGTGATGTGGCTCACCTTTCTGTGTGCAGTGTGCCTGCTGCCTGGCAGCCTGGCCCTGCCGCTGCCCAAGGAAGCAGGGGGCATGAATGAGGAGCAGTGGAAACAAGCTCAGGTAGGTCATAGCCCTGTCACCTGGGACTCCATCATCTTGCCATCAGCATTAGAAAATAGGTTTTCCAATTATTTCTTTTTTCCATATTAGTATTGCATAGAAATTTTTTACTTTTCTTCCCAGTACTTTTTCTTATAGAGACAATATTTGTTTCCACTAATTAGCCACCAAGAGCATGCTTTAGAGACTGTCCAAGCTGGGCTTAAGGTCCAACTCCTTCATCTGCTATGTAGATGAACTTAGAATGCCATTCAACTTCTCTGAGCTTCAGTTTTTTGATTTGGAAATTGCAAATAATGCTATCAACCAACTAAGGGTGTTGTAAAGTATTTAACACAATACTTGAAACATAGTTCTCACTCAATAAATTGAAGTTATTTATTGTAACTTGAGGTTCTTTGTATAAAATGTACAGAATGGGGGAAACAGGTGGTGTGGTGTTTAAGGTACTGAACTTCCACATGATCAACTATGGTTTGAGTCCTGGACCTGGAAGCTTGAAAATCACACCAGATATGTGTGTACATGTCCAAGACCCCGGGAGGAGAATGAAGGAGAAGGGATTCCAACATGGCCATTCCCCTTGGGAGATGATTTCTCACTTTCCCTCTCACTTTCCCTCTCACTGTCTTTTTCTGTCTCTCTCCAATGAGCACATGTGTCCTATGGCAAAAACCTTAATAAATAAAATGCACAGAATGCATTCTATTCTATGTTTTATGCCTCACAGGATTGTTCTAGTGAATAAATGATGTCATAGCAACATCAACTAGCATATGTGTAACATTTACAGACTATAAAATTGTTTTATGTACATTATGTCATTTTTTCCCCTCAGCTTTATCATGAGAAAAGAAGTAACCAAAGTTAAGTTGGCTACATACTTGTGAGGAGTAGAGATAAGAACCAAGGACAAGTTTTCTGGTTCAAAATCAGATTCTTTTCAATATACTACTTAATAATCAGCATTATTTTTCCTTTGTACTCTATGTATTGTTTTTCTTTTTAATTGCCAGAGGATATGCTTGCTCACTAAAGAGAGACAGAAGGCAGAGGGACAAGGAGAAAGCACCCCCCCCATGGGGCATCGTCACACTGCAATCTCTTCTCCTTCATTTCTCCATCCTCGTCAGGATTTGAGGCATGCATGCACAAGTGCCCAGTGTGTTTCTCAAGGGGCAGGGTCCAGGATATGAAACACAGTAAGCCATGTGGTTCATACGGCTCCCGTTCCCTTAACTGCTAGGCCACAGGACCATCCCAAGAAATAGTCTATTAAGTTTATAATTATTATTTGTAAAATAATGGGAGAATTATTCATTAGTATTATTTATAAATTTAAGCTTTAAGCATAAGAAATTTCAAGTTTTATTTCATATTAACTTGGACTTCTTAAAAGCACCAGTAAAATGTTAGACTGAGCCATGTGAAGTTGCTGGTAGTAAATAGGTTTTATCTACAAAACAGCAATATGATATGGTTCTACCTGATAGATGCTCTAGAAGGAGTAGATTTGCATAAGTATTTAGTCATTTTATTAATATTTGAGGTTCAGGTTGGCAGTAAACTAGAGAGAGGTTAACTGGGTTTAACAGAAGGCAAGAAAAGTCATCTCAAGAAAGCAGACGGATTTCTTCCACAGGGTGTCTTTGTAAAGTTTATAGTTGTGAAGGGATAAAATAGGTTATTTGCTTTTTTTTTTTTTTTTTCTTTTTTTGGAGGAGTTTTTGCAGTAGGGCGTATGCACTCAACAGAAAGACAGAGAGAGACAGAGAGACAGAAAGTGAGAAATCACCCCCTAGGGGTATGGCCACACCACAATTCCTTCTCCTCCATTCTCCTCTCAGGATCTTGGGCACGCACACACACACACACGCCTAGCATGAGATTAAGCCACCAGGTCCAGGACTTAAACCACTGTCGACTAGATGGGAGTCCAGTTATATAGCCATCATGCCAACTGCTGGTCCTACGTTATTTGTTTTTAAATGAGGAACTAATTCCTAATTGTCACGGATGAACAATAAGTATGCATTGGATTGAATGAAACACAATCATTGGTAACAGGAAGAGGGAACACATTAACAAGGTTACTCGTGCAAAGTACGTTCTCCTGAAGTTCTGGAACAACTGATGGTAAGCAAGAAAGCAAGCTGCCAGGTCCAGAACTCGAACCATGGTCGACCATATGGGAGTCCAGCACCCTTAACCACCATGACACTTGCCAGACACCCCCCCTTCTTTTTTTGCTGTAAAATGGGTACATGGACTTGCCAGAGAGAGACAGAGACAGAGAAAGAGAGAGGGAAAGTGGGAAATCACTTTCATGCCATGATCTCTTATTCTCCATTTTCCTCTAGGGATTTTGGGCACACATATATACATGCTCAGTGTGACTTTCAAGTCATCAGGTCCAGGACTCGAACCATGCATTTGGCTATGTGGGATGCAGTGCCTTAACCTCCACACCACTTTCTGGGCCTAATTATTCCCTTTTTTTGTTTTTAAAGAATTATTTACTTAATTTTATTTATTCATTCACATATTTTAATTTGACCAGAGAGAGAAAGAGAGAAAGTGAGAAAGCAAGCCACCAGGTCCAGGACTCAAACTATTGTTGGCCATGCGGAAGTGTCCAGCGCCTCAACCACCACGCCACCTGTTGGTCCTCTAATTATTCTCTTTTTAATAGGACTATCTCAAGAGATTTTATCCCTATGACTCAAAATCAAAGGATATGAATAGTTTAGAGGTTAAACTCAAGATGATGCAAAAGTTCTTTGGCCTGCCTGTAACTGGAATCTTAAACTCTCGCATCATAATCATAATGCGGAGGCCCAGATGTGGAATTCCCGATGTTCCTGAAAACCCCCAAGGCCCAAAATGGACTTCCAGTGTAGTCACCTACAGGTTAGTTGCACTTTGGCTCATTTTAGCAAAAACAATAAAGCCCTTTTCCTATTAAATGTTGTTTTCCTGTTTGCTATTAGGATCGCATCATATACTCGAGACTTACCACGTTTCCAAGTAGATCAAATAGTGGCAAAGGCTTTTCAAATGTGGGGCAAAGTGATCCCACTGAATTTCAGGAAAGTTGAAAGAGGAATTGCTGATATCATTTTACGCTTTGCAGTAGGAGGTAAGGAAGATTCCTGTGGTGAGTCCTGTGTGCTATTTTATTTGCTCATTGTTTTTATCTAGATGTAAAATCTTTGTATTATTTCTTTATTTTGGGAGGTGATTTTTGCTATAAGGCGTGTGTGCTCATTGGAGAAACAGAGAGAAACAGAGAGAGACAGAAAGCAAAAAATCACCCTCCAGAGGAGTTGGCCACATCGTAATCCCTTCTCCTCCATTCTCCTCTCAGGATTCTGGGTGCACAGACACACATGTGCCCAGCTTGAGTTTCAAGTTGCTGGATCCAGGCCTCAAACTACATCCGGCTGTATGGTAGTCCAGCGTCTTAATCACTATGCCACCTGCAGGCCCTGATTTAAAATCTTCAATGAGATACACACACACACACACACACACGTGTGTGTATAATATTTTTATATATTTTATATATGTATGTATGTATGTGTATATGTATGTATATATATATAATATCTATGTACACTTATATGTATGACAATATTATTATAGCTTTTCTAGTTTGTTCATTTAGAACCACATTTTATAGCAGAAGTTAATGAACTACAACCTGTTGAACCAATCTAGCTCAACCTTTTTTTTTAGGTAAAGTTTACTATAACACAAACATTTTCCTATTTTCTTTTCTTTTTTTAAAAAAAAATATTTTTATTAATTTTATTTATTTATTTTTAATTTGCTACAGGGCATCTGCACTCACTGGAGAGAGAGAGAGCATAAGCACAGGAAAGTGAGAAAGCAAACCCTCAGGTCCAGGGCTCAAACCGGGGTTTGTCATATGGGAGTCCAGTGCCTTAACCATGACACCTGCTGGCTCCTATCTATTTACTTCTCTCAAGCAAACTTCAGTGGTGAGATCTAGTCTACAAAGCTTCAGTTACTTGTCTCCTGATCTGTAGAAAAAGTTTGCTAACCCCTGTTTTATAGCATACTTCATATATGCACACACATATTTATATATATACACATATTTTTATCAGTTTAAAATATATCTAGCTAATATCAACCTTAAGCCAAGAGAAGGGGTTACAGCTTCCAAAGACACCTCCCAAGAAGTCTTGTGTCCCCAAGAAGTAACATAGCCCCTATGGCTTGCTGTCAATGACCTCTATGTAACAAAGAACTAGAAAGAAGAGACGTTGGGGGCCAGCAGGAGGTATAGTGGTTAAGGTACTGGACTCATACGTGGCCAACCATGGTTCTAGTTCTGGACCCAGCAGCTTGAAAAATCACACTGGGTGCATGTGCATGCATGCCCAAATCTCGAGAGGAGAATGGACGAGATGGAATTTTGGCATGACCATCTCTCTTAGGGGTGATTATTCGTTTCCCCTCTTTCTATCTCTTCACAGTGAGCGCAAATGTCTGACAAAAACCTTTAAAAAGAAAAAGGAAATGGAGACTTTGATATTAAAGGATTTATAGAGAAATAACAGATATGCATGAACTGCTCTTAATTGCTAGGGCTTCATGGTGCAATTTAGAGAAAAATATTACCCATTTGGTCTGTTCTCATATTGAACTGGCTGGGTACTATGAAGTAAGCTGAAATTTGAACCTCAGCTCACAGTACTGACAACACTGAAGAACATAGCATAGAAACTGTTCGTCACTCCCAGCACATATTTTAAAGAGCTGGATAGACTGGAGATGGCCCAAAACCAATTTGAAGATAAATACCTCTGCATCACAGAGAAAATAGCTATCACAATCCATCGCCCAGAGACCTTGATCATGATCTTCCAAGAGATTGCCTTCCCAGCCCATAAATAATAAGCTAGATTTTTAAGGAAAATAATATACAAAATGGTACACGACTTACTGGATACAGTACTCACATCACTTGGCCAAGCGAAGAGATCAGTTTTAACTAACGCTGAAATGCAGCCATAGGTAAGCTATAAATGCATTTAAAGTCCGATCCAGCAAGCCTTCAAAATACAAAGGTCATCAATAAGTCTGCGAAAAAAACAGTGCCTGTTTAAGCACCCGTACCACCTTTCGTAGCTGGTAGTTGGTATCAACAGTGCTGACTCAGACTTGCTACTATTTCTAGCCTCAATAATCATAAAAACCAAAAAGATAGGGGCCGACAGGTGACATAGTGGTTAAGGTGTTGGACTTCTACGTGGTTGACCATGGTTTGAGTCCCACATCCAGCAGCTTGAAACCATACTCGGCAAGTATGCATGCATGCCCAAAATCCTGAGAGGAGACTGGAGGGATTGCACCATGGCCTCTCTAGCAGATGATTTCTTGTTTTCTGTCTCTCTGTCTCTCCAGCAAGTGCATACCCCTATAGCAAAAATCTCTTTAAAAAAGAAAGAAAGAAAGAAAGAAAGAAAGAAAGAAAGAAAGAAAGAAAGAAAGAGAGAGAGAAAGAAAGAAAGAACAGATAATGACTGGAGAGCAATACAGTCACTAAGGACAACCACTCCATTTTCTTTCAGTTCATGGAGACCCTTACCCATTTGATGGACCAGGAAACACACTGGCTCATGCTTTTTTTCCTGGACCAGGCCTAGGGGGAGATGCTCACTTTGATGATGATGAAACATGGACTGATGGTAGAGGTAGAGGTATTGTATCCTATATTTCTTCTACTACATAGCCTTTTCAAAGTCCTGAGTTTATACTAACTTGAATTGTATAGTTGCTCTAATATATAATAATTACTGAGCCCTTGCTAAGTGGCAACCACTGTACTATATATTTTAAATGCACTATCTCATTTAATATACTCATAATTTTTCATATATAGAAGGGCGGATCATGGGGTTCAGTTTGCTATGTCTCTCCTAATCACTTGCTATGTGTCCCTGAGAAAGTCTTTTACTTCTATGAGCCTCAGTTTCCTCATCTGTGAAACAGGGATATAAATAGTTCCCACCTCAAGGATTAATGTTTGAAATAATGAGTTAACGTACAAGGCTTAGCACAGTGCTTAGAATATATTAATAATTTAAATCATAGTTCTTTATAGTTCCCCAAATACGTGTCTCAAATGGAAGAGAAAGAGAAGAGTCTATAATATTTAAGAATTATATGTAATTCTGAGATTATTCACTATCTTTCCAAAAAAAATCACCTCCATGACCCAGCCCTCATACTTATCATATTAGAAAGGAGATTACAGACTAAGAACCAATGCAGAGGAACTCTGACAAATTCTTTCTTCTTTTTTATTCTTTTTAATTTTTGCTCTAGGGTGCATGAGCTTGCTGGAGGGAGACAGAGAGAGGGAAAGTGAGAAATCACACCTCCAGGGTAGATGGCCAAGCCACAATTTCTTCTCCTCCAGTCTCTTCTCAGGATTTTCAGCATTCACGCACATATGCCAGCATGATTTTTCAAGCTGTCAGATCTGGGACTTGAACCACAGTTGAACATGTGGAAGTCCAGCACCTTAACCACTACAACTCTTGCCGGCCCCTAATTGGAGACAATTCTAAATCAAACAATTTTTTTTTTCATGATCATTAACTGACTCTGAAAGGAAAATTAGTACTTGTGTTTGGCAAAGGGAATTTACCACAGTTCAAACACGGTAGCAACATCTTGCTGTAAAAATCTAACCTCTGAAGGGGCCAACAGGTGGCATGGAGGTCAAGGCACAGGATTCTCACTTGACCAACTGTAGTTCAAGTCCTAAATCCAGAACCTTGAAAATCATGCTGTACACATACATGTGTGTGGCTAAGCCAACATTCCAAGAAGAGAATGGAGAAGAGATTGCAATGTGGCCATCCCCCACTGGAGGGTGATTTCTTACCTTCCCTCCCTTTGTCTCTTTCACTCTCCTGTGAAAGCATACATCTTATGGCAAGATAATGTAAAAAAATAAAAAAGAAAGAAAGAAAAAAGAAAAAGAAGAAAAGAAAAGAAAAGAAAAAAGAAAGACTAAAGATAGTAATTAATTAATTTTAAAAATAAAAATTTTAAAGGACCTATTCAAATAAAAAAACGTATGCAAATTTTGATGCTACCTCACTTTCATGTTTTGTTTATCTTTTTCATTCTTCTTTCTTCCCAAGGTTAAAGCAGACTCCTTCAGTCTAATGTAACATAACTAAAGTTTTGACCAATCCTCAAACTCACAGGCTTGCACCTTCCCCTATTACTAAGAAGACCTTTCTGTGAGTCTGAAGGAGAGAAAGAGGACATAAATAGTACAATATAAAGAATCAAAATAAAAATAAAACCCAGCATTGCTGGGTTTCTTGCTGGAATTCTTGCTTTTCAGTCTTGACTTTCTCAAAGCCAGTGTTCCCTCTCTATTCAAACTCAATATCATTTGTTGAATGCTGCTTTTCCAGACGTTGGAAAACTCTAATTACCATGACAAATATGGATAGGAACTGCTATCTCTGTTTAACAGACAAAAATCTGAGGCTCAGAAATATCAATGAATTTGCCCAGAGTCGTCTAGCTAATAAGTAATGGAGCTACGTTCTAAACCCAGGTCTTAACATTTTTATTTTTAAAGAATTGTTTTATTTAACTTTATTTATTACTACTATTTTAATATTTCCAGAGAGAGAGAGGAAAAAAAACGAGAGAGAGAGAAAGCAAACTGCCAAGTCTAGGACTTGAACCGCGGTCAACCATGTGGGAATCCAGTGCCTTTAACCAGCATACCACGTGCTGATCCCCCCCAGATCTTAACTCTTTTAATACTTTTGTTTCCTGCTATATGATATTGCTGCCTGTGTGATTATATAAGAAGCAAATAAACAAAAACATTACACTTTTTTTTAAGAGGCAGAGTGGTAAAGAGATGAAGCACTACTGTTCTGATTCTCCTTCTAATTCTCCTTCTAACTCCACCCTACTTTTGAAAACCTAGAAATAAATAAACTACAAAGGGTTGAGGGGGCTTTTTTTGTGGTTACTGTATTTTTTGGTATTTTCTGATGTATGACACTGCACATAATATTTTATACTATTTTTACAAGTATTGTTATAATCACTCTATGTCACTTCTCTGTAGGAATCAACTTCTTGTATACTGCAACTCATGAACTTGGCCATTCTTTGGGTCTGCCTCATTCCTCTAATCCTAAGTCTGTGATGTATCCAACCTATATGAATGAAAATTCCGAAGATTTCCAACTTTCATGGGATGATATTAGAAGCATTCAGAAACTATACGGTAACATTTACTATTTCAAATAAGGGGAGAGTTTACATTTTCTGTTTTAGAGTAGGCTTGGAAATCAGTATTTGCCTGGAAAACCACACTAGAACTCACATTTAAAAACTTATTGAGTGGAAAAATGTAAGACCTTACATATCAGAAATTTAACCAGTCTATTTTATACTGTGAGGATGATGACTGTAAGTTTCAGTAATATAGTATCATGTGGTAAAATTATGAAAATGACACTATCAAAGCTTTTTTCAAGCTGCCACCCATTTCATCCTTGCTTAGTTTAGGTACTTTAGGAGAGTCTCCCCCTGTGGAGGGTGGATTGAAGGAATGTAACACTGTTCTAGAGCTGCCCCTTCCCAAGGATTTGGCCTACATGATTAAAACTGACTCAGTTCTGAGGCCAAGTGTGCAGTTATAATGCAACTGGACCCACAAGGGGAAGGTGCGGTTTTTGGTTCCCAGAATCTAAGCACACTGGGTCAGCCCACATGCCCATAATCTGAGCCAGTTAAGACTGGATCAAGGTGTGAAGATCCTACTAGGTGTTTCTTTTTCTCTTTCTTTCTCTTTCTCATGGAAGAAATCAATAAATCTTTAAAAATATGACCCAGGCCAGCTGATGTCATGATGGTTAAGACAACTGGATCCACATGGCCTTCTGCACGGTTCAAGTCCCAGACCCAGTGGCTTGAGAAATATGCCAGATGCACGTGCATGCACGCATTTCCAAAATCCCAAAAGGAGAAAGAGATGGAGGAGAAGAGACTGTGGTGTAACCAGCCCCGCTCAGGGCTGCTCTCTCACTTCCCCTCTTTATCTCTGACTGTCTCTCTGGCAAGTGCATGTGCCCTCTGGCAATTATTCTTTTTTTTTAAAGAAGTGACCCAGAATTTTCTGCTTGTACAAACATGCAGGGAAAGTGCTTAACCATGGGCAGCAACTGCTCATACATGAGGGTCACAGAGATTATGAATATTCCATACCCCAGTCTCCTATAGTTTGATTTAATCAAGTTCAATTGGGTTGTCAAAGAAGTCATGACGCATTTTGCATAGAAAACCATAGAAAAATATGTCATGACTTTTCCAACAACCTAATAAATTCAGTTTAGAAAAGTATGTTGATTTGTATTTGCTTGACAAGCAAATACTATAGAAAATGGTTTTTGTGAAAGGGATCAAGGCACAAGGAGTAAGACGAGAAAATAAAAGAGACTCAGGGAATTGTTCAAGATTGTGGGGCTGCCAGCACCCGAACAATGATTCTGAGCCAAGGGCCATGTGATTTCACACTCTTCCTATTACACATCCCTACACATGGTTACCTGGAAAATTTTTTAAAGCAATCTGGGTAAGAGAATACAGAATAACATCATTTTTATTGTTTTTTTTTTAATTTCTTTCTTTCTTCTCTGAGATAGAGAATAAGACAGACAGACAAAGAGACAGACACCCCCAACAAGGTCTTTATGCCACAATCTACCCCCAACCACAGCCAGCCCAGATCACAGATCACAGACACTCATGTATGCACACTGCAAGCAGAGGGAGTCCCTGAGACATGGACAGAGGACCTTCCCACATGGTTCTGGTTGCCTTATCACCGCATCACCACCGGGCTCCCAGAATGGCATCTGTGACTGACAGATACAGTTAAACCTATCTGGAAAAATATCAGAGTGATAGGAATACAGTGCAAAAAAGATCCTGTAAGAGCCTTTGACCAAGGAACAATGAAACTATTTCCATATAATAAGGTACTGTCTTTAAGGGAAAATTATTCTTGTAAGATGAAGGATTTAAACTCTCAGTTGAATCTAGAATTTATTATAAATCAGCACTTTTCCAAATTATATGCCCAGCACACTCATTCTATAAGACAACTCTCAAAAAAGAATGCCTTCAAAAAATAAGTTCAAGAAATGCTACCTGCTGTTGTTTCAGGTGCACAGGATATTAAAGAATATGGAAGAGGCACTGTTTAACACAATGCTTCCTAAATTATAATCCTCTTTATGGAACATCATTGAAATCCCATGAAATAACATTTCAGAGAATACACAATTTGGAAATGCTATGGAACTATACCCTAAAGATCTAACTTACAGAGCTACTACTGTGTCAAAAAGACACAAAATACTGACTACTGCCAGTAAAAGTATACCGAAAAAATAGTCATTATTACCTTCTTCTTCTTATGTAAAACTAGACTCAGATCATACTCTATGGCATTCTGTAACTATTTCAGAAAAATAATAGAGACTAAAGAAGATCTGAGGCGGACTGATTAAATTCAACAGGAAGAAAAGGGACGGGTGTACTAAATCCTTAAGTGTGAGACAAAGAGGTGCCCCCCAGTCAGAGCTGGAAGTAAGTAACTTCTGAACAAGTGAAAGTAGGATGTAATAATGGAAGTCGTAAATTTAGGAACTTCATTCATCCAAAAAGTAATATGGGCAGAAAATAGAGATTCAAAAGATTAAATTCCTGGATGTAAGATTCTCAATGATCTTTTTAGAATTATATATATATATAAAAATAGCTAAAGTGTATTAAGTACTTGCAGCATGCCATGTGTTTCACACAAATTAACTCGCTGAATACAACAACCCAATGATATGGGCCACTAGTAATGCAACAGTAAAAGAAGTAAAGTGATAACTTGCCCAGGGTCACACAGCTGATGAGATGGTAGAGGCAGGATGCACGGTTGTCTGACCCTTGGACCGACACTCTACCACTACTGCTCTCTTAGCCATTGAATGCTGTTTTTCAGAATCTTTCTCCCAGGCACAGAAAATGGCGTAATGACAGATTGAACATACTGTGACATTTCCTTTGTTTGCAGAGTCTTCGAATGGTTTTTATGCGTTTTATACTATGTCGGAATGTTCTTGTTTTCTTTTTTAACAGGAAAGAGAACTAATTCAAGAAAGACATAGAAACTTCAGGGAGAACATTCATTCATTCCTTGGATTCCATAACATTGTTGCCCAGCCAGAAATAGTAAGCACTGTTCCTGTACGCCATCTTGTACCTCCTCCGTTCTTTCCTGTATTGTGGTTGGTTTTCACGCATCGCCTTCTCTCTCTGTGGATAAGCTCCTGTGTGGATGACAGTGTCTTACTCACCTACGACTCTTCTCAAACAACTTGAAGTTGGCAGTAGGCAACAAATGTTATATGCATAAATAAATAAAATTTGTATTCCGTGGTGAAGTTATTTATATTTGGAAGCACTGTTTCTTTTTTTAATTTAGTTTTATTTAACATTATTATTATTATTTTAAATTCTTATTTTGCCAAGGGCACAGAGAGAGCTGAGAGAAAGAGAGAAAGAGAGAGAGAAATAGAAAGTGAGGGACCGTTAGATGACATAATGGTTACATCACTGGACTCCCACATAGTTGACTGTGGTTAGAGTCCCAGACCCAGTGGCTTAAACTTCATACCAGATGTGTGTGCAAGTGTGCCCAAGATCCTGAAAGGAAAAAGGAGGAGAAGGGATTGTGGTGTGGCCATCCCCCCGGGGGATGATTTCTCACTTTTTGTCTCTCCAGTGAGCACATGTGTTCTATAGCAAAAATCTCTCTTAAAAAAAGAGAGAGGGAGAAAGTGAGAAAGCAGGCCACCAGGTCCGGACTCCAACCATGGTTAGCCATGTGAGAGCCCAGTGCCTTAACCATTGCACCACTTACTGGCCCCTGGAAACACTGTTTCTGTAGCAAGAGGAGATACGCTATACAGTGAAATAAAAAACTAAGAAAAATAATCCCAACGTATTATTTTAGGGTCTTCAGCTACACCCACCCTATCACCAAGTGGGGAAGGCAGGAGTGCTGCCTCTTTGTTTTCAGGAGTGTAGCCCAAATGACTCCAACTTCCATTATCCTCTTGGCCCAAGCTCTCAGTCTGGGTCTTTCGTGAAGTCCAATTCTTCCCACAAGATGCAGGAACTCCCGAGGACTTCCAATCACATGGTCACTTCCAGCTCCAAGTTCCTACTCTTGGCCTTCTGACATCCTTGCCTTTCTCCTACTGTGGCTTCTCTCCAGGTCCCTTTCCTCTGCCCTGTTTCACCCAGATATCTCTCACCTTTGTCCCCTTACCTTTCTCCTCAGTTCCCCATTGTTTTTGTGAGAGTATAGCTATGGCTGAAGAATTGCTATTGGATAGTATCCTCCTCCTTCACAACCTTTCCCTATACCAGCAACAGAAATGTCTCCCTGATTCCCTGCGACCACACCTCTCCCCGTCTTCCATCCTTTAGATCTCCCCTGACTTCCTCAGAAATGTATTTTCTGGGTACTTACAGCTCAGACCCTCCCATTCCACATCAAGACTTGCTGTGTTTCTCTGGGTGAAATATTTACTTGGAGGGCTTAACCCTTTAGCAGGACACAGAGCTGGCAAAGGTTTTGCCATTTCAGCCTTTTTTCCTCAACCTCCACATCTTCCACCCCCCTGCATGGTTTTCTGTATAAAATAAAGTGATAAACGATTGGAATTTACTGTCTTAGTAATACAAATATGCACCCCATGCACCCTAAAAGGATGCATTCTTTTTTTGTTTGTTTGTTTCCCAGTTTCACATAAAGACTTTTTTTCACTCAAAATAGGTCAATAGCCCAAACTCAGAACTATCATCATGGTCATTACAGAGCCCTTCTGGGAACAGATCAAATGAGACAAGATTCTGTAATCCAGGCAAAATATAAAGTACATATGAACGGGAATGTAAAGACCCTTCGGAAACATGAACATGTTTAAAGTGTTAGAATGAAAAGGAAGTTAGTAATCATTGAATTCAAGTCTCTCATTTTATAGCTGACAGACAGACCCGGAGCGGTTAGATGATTTCCGCAAGGTTCACAATAAGAGAAATGTAGTCATGACTTAAGCACATTTTTGTTTGTTTACCATTTGTGCAGCAGAAGGTGGCATCTGTCTGGCAAGTGAATAACTCTTGCTTTTTACCTGCCCAATGTCAGTTCACCCTCCTTTCAGAGAAAGAGACCTGCTTCTGCCCTTGGTGCAGTCTTCATAAGATCTCACGGGATGTCTCACGCTGCATCCGGGCTGAGGAGGGAGGATGGGACCAGGCTTGGCTTGTCAGACATGTTCTCCCCAAATCACTGGAGACCGATTCATCCTGGCTGTGGACTCTGGAGACACAGCCTGTTCAATCATGCCCCCAGATAGAGTCCCTGAAGCTGTCCTTGGTCTAAGTCATTCTCACAGTTTAGGAGCAGGCCTTTTCTTTCAGATTCCATGACTGACTGCATGGCCTTCCAAGAAATTTTGTCTGTTGCTTAAGTTAGCCAGAGTCTGTTTCTGTCTGCTATTTGCAAATCCCTGGCACAGGACCTTGACAGTGTGTGTTTGCACATCCAGGACCTTGACAGTGTGTGTCTGCACATCCAGGACCTTGACAGTGTGTGTCTGCACATCCAGGACCTTGACAGTGCGTCTCCGCACATCCAGGACTTTGACTGTGTGTGTCTGCACATCTGAGCTCTGTTGTGCACTGCTACACACTTCACTCTTAACAATGACATCCAGCTCTGAGTTTAGAAGTAGAATTGTCAGGGCCAGCAGGTGATGTGGTAGTCAAGGTGCTGGACTCTCACATGGCTGACCACAGTTTAAGACCCAGATATGGTAGCTTGAAAGTCACACTGGGTGCATGCCCCAAATTCCAGGACAAGAATGGAGTAGAAGGGACTACAGTATGGCCAGACCCTGGGGTTGGTTTCTCACCTTCCTTCTCACAGTATCTCTCTGTCTCTCACCAGCAAGTGCACACACCCTATGGCAAAAAAAAAAAAAAGGAAAAGAAAGGGGCCAGCAAGTGGCATGGTGGTTAAAGGCACTGGACTCCCACATGGTCGACCATGGTTCAAGTCTCGGACCTGGTGGCTTGCTTTCTCACTTCCTATTTCTCTCTCTCTTTCTCTCTGATCAAACTGGAAACTAATAATGATAATAATAATAAATAAAGTTAAATAAAGTAATTCTTTAAAGAAAAGAAAGAAAGAAAAGAAAAGAAAAATGTCACTGGTATGAAATAATTTTTTTAATTTAAAAAAAAAAAGTAGAATTGTCTTTTTCCGATCAAAATAGCATAAAGCTGACTCGTAAGTAGCAATTTTTCCTAGCAAATAAGGGCCAAGATTATTATTCTTTTTTTAATTCTGATGAAATATATATAACATAAAATTTACCATCTTAATCATTTTTAAGAGCCTAATTCAGTATTGTTAATTATATTCACTCAACAAGAGGAAGGATTCCTAACCTTGGCACCAGTGGCGTTTGGGGCTAGCTAATTCTTCGTTGTGGGTGCTGTCCTATGTGGTATAGTATACTTAGCCATCATCCCTGACCTCAGTCCACCAGGTGCCAGTAAAATGTCTTCAGTGTGGCAACCAAAACTGTCTTCAATCTTTGCCGAATGTCCCCTTTGCATAAAAATAGCTCCCAATGGAGAACTATTGAGCAAAAAGAGGCAAATTTATATTTCATTGTGTTATACATAGCATCCCTCCTCTCTTTTTTTCACCCAGGACCCTGCCATCCTCACATCCTATACTGTCCCATGTGGAAAGGAAAACCAGTTAAAAAAAAAAAAAATCAATGTGACATTGCCAATATTTGACACTTATTTGAGGAAGGAATTGTCTTTTTTATTAAGTTTTATTTTTCTTCATAAGAATATGAGACAGAGAGAAAAACAAAGAGACAACCAACTTCAACAGGGTTCTAGGGATGAATTCTTTTAATCTTAAAATGCTGCACGCAAACCATTAGTCCAGTGTGATTATGAGTTGAATTATGACTCTATCCCCCAAATTATGCTGAAATCCTAATCCTTTGTACTTGTGAATGTAATCTTACTGTGAAAGAGGGTCTTTGCAGAGGTAACTAAGGTAAGCTGAGGTCATATGGGACTGGAGTTGGCCCTAAAAGTAATGACTATTTTTCTTATTAAAAGGTCACATGAAGGCAGAAAGGAACACAAGGAGAACTGATGATAGTAAAGACAGAAATTGGAATGCTCTAGAAGTGAGTTAAAGAAAACCAATGATTGCTGACAACTACCCAAAGCTACAAGAGAGGCAGAGAGCAAATTTTCCCTCAGGCCTGTAGGAGGAACCAACCTCAATGACACCATGATTTTGGTCTTCTGGCTTCCAGAACTGTGAGACAAACTATTTCTTGTTTTAAACCACATCATTTGTAGTATTTTGTCATGATAGTCCTTGGGAACTGAAGTTAAGTGTAAAGACTCAATCTTGGGCTGGCCCCATAGCACAGCAGTTAAGAACCATGCATAGGGAGCCAGATCCCACATGGCCAACTGTGGTTTAAATCCCGGCCTCAGCTGTGCCTAAAAAACATGCCAGGCAGGGACCAGCAGTTAACATAATGGCTATGTCACTGGACTCCCATGTAGTCGACCGCAGTTCGAGTCCCAGACCCGGTGGCTTAAACTCACGCAGGGTGTGTGTGCGTACGTGCCCAAGATCCCGAGAGGAGAATGGAGGAGAAGGGATTTTGGCATGGCCATCCCCCCTGGGGGGTGAGTTCTCACTTTCTATCTCTCTGTATCTCTCTGTCTTTCTGGCGAGTGCACGTGCCCTATAGCGAAAACCTCTCCAAAAAAAAAGAAAAGAAACATGCCAGGCATATGTGCATGCCTCAAATCCTGACAGGATGGAGAAGTGGGAGGAAAAGGGATTGCAGTGTGACCACACCCCATGAGGGAGTGGTGCTTTCTCTCACTATGTCTCTGTCTCTCCCTCTCTCTCTAGTGACAAATAAAAAATAAACTCAGTCTTACACAATGAGAGTTCAGATCTCTGCTCTTCATGTACTCATATACTTTTTTCTGAGACAGCTGATTTAATATGTATTCCAAACACACAGGATGAAATCCAAGAGAAAGATGTGAGATATAGAAATGATAGAAAAGGAATCAGAATAAGAGCTGTGCATTAGGACCCTCTAGCAATAATTTTTTTAAAAAAGAAAAGGGGACCAGCTGTTGGCATAATGGCTATGTCACTGGACTCCCATGTAGTCAACTGCGGTTCGAGTCCCGGACCTAGTGGCTTAAACTCACACCAGGGGCATGTGCATGTGTGCGTGCCCAAGATCCTGAGAGGAGAATGGAAGAGAAGGGATTGTGGTGTGGCCGCCCCTTGGGGAGTGATTTCTAGATTTATG